ACTGAGACGCTGCAATTCTTGCAGCTGGATGAGGCTCGATGGCAGGTGGTGGAGGCCAACGCGATCGGCAGAGAGCGTCCTGAGAGCGCGGAGGTTGAGAATCCAGTCGGGCAGGTGCTCCACGGCGTTGCCCGAGATGTCAAGCTCCTCGAGCGCGATGCAAGCACCGATCGCGTCCGGAAGGCGTTCCAGATTGCAGTTGGAGAGGTCGAGGACGAGCAGATTGGTGGTGAGAGGCAGTACACGCTCCAGCACCTCTGTGAGCCCCTCGGCATCATTGCCGCCGAGCAGGAGGTGCGTAGTGTTGGGTCCGGTTTCGGCATCGATCTGCGCCAAGGTGAGATGACGGCCTTGGACGATGGTGGCGCTACCTTCCTCGGCCGTCTTGACCGCCCTCGACTCGTCGCCTTCTGTCTCGGCGCTCTCGTCAAAGTCGTAGAGGCCTTCTTCCCACCGCATCCGGCTGGCGTACGCGCCAACAATGTGGCTGAACTCGGCATTCTGAAGGAAGCTGTTGATGGAAACGTCGGAAGCCCTGCGTGTGCGCGAGGCGGCGGACGTAGTGCGAAGAGAGGGCTCTTTGAGTGAGCTCGAGGGCGAGTTGCGCCCTGACGCCAGATCCAGCGTCTGCTGTGCATCCGCAGCGGATAGCATCCTCGCCTCGTCGGATGCAGAAACCCGATCAAAAGCTGCACGCGACGAGCTTCGACCCATGACGATGGGTGCGAGGGCAGGCGGCGTTCGCTGCGAGCGCTCGCGTACGAGAGAAGGCGAGCCGCGCAAAGAGCTCACGGAGGGCGAATGGCGCAGTGAGCTGGAACGAGGAGGGCTCTGCAGGGCGCTGAGGTCGGCACCGCCCAGGAAACCACTCGAAGCCGGTGTGAGCACGGGCGTAAAGCGTCCCGAGACGGAAGCGCAAGACGAGACGGAAAGCGACGGAGAGTGCCGCGAGGCCCGGGGAGGCGTGGAATGATGGTAGTTGACCGAGTCAGACGAGCATCTGACGCGCGAGTCGCGACGCAGGGGGATCGAGGGTCCAAGCAAGGAGGACGAAGGCGCGCTGGCGATGGCATCGCCACTCTGTGCGCTCAACCCCGATACGGGCGTGACATCGCTCAGCGCTCTTTGCATGTGAGGACCCACGCTGAGGCCGAGTTCACGCGCGCCTCCGATGGCCTGCATGTTGAGGATCTGGTCGAGCTGACTGGACGGCATTCCAGACGAGGGAGCGAGGTCCAAGCGTCTGGTCCACGAGGGAGCGCGGTGATGCGAAAAGGGGCCTTGAAACGCCTTGACCGAAGCTGGAAGCACTGGGGATGGAGAGACGAGAGCGGCGCTGGACCTTCGACTGGAGGTGTCATGCTCGACATCCGAGGTGATGCCGAGACCGACCTTGCTTTCGTCCAGCTCGAGCTCCTCGGTGGACTCTGCGGCATCGTGGCTGCGAAGGTGCAAGGACTCTGGCGAGGCATCGGACTTGAGCATGTACTGCCTGGATGCAGGACTGTTGTTGCCGCTGGCCAGGCTCGGCTCGGTCCAGATGGAGGTGTGGGTGGAGGCGGAGTTGCGAAGCGAGTAGTCGGACGAGAAGTAGGTGTGATGCGAGCTGAGTCTCTGGCTGGCAGGCGACGATTGACCGCTGTGATCGTGGAAGCTGTTTGGGGTGGAGAAGCCGACACCCTCGGGGAGCGCAGCTGGATCCGCACCGGCGAAGCGCGGTGGCACGAAAGGAGCATTGGTTTCGAACGGGGCGCGACTCTTCCATTGTGCCGGAAGCGATGGACGCGGTGCACGACGATCGGAGCTGGTCAAGGTGGCTGAAATAGTGCCAGCAAGCTGTGCAGATCTGCGGTTTGGCGATTGTGACATGCTGAGGCAAGGTGAATAGAAAGGCTGCTGCGGCGAGGCCTCTGGATGGCTCGGCGCGTGCCTGGCTGGTTCTGCTTGCAGGACGTCGCTGGAGCGAGTATGGGCAGCGTTGGACGGAAAGACCTGAGCCTCGGGCGATTCCGAATCGAGGTCGAGGAAGGAGGCTGTGTTGCCGGCCGATTTGGAACGGGTAGCCAGAGGAGCGACCGAGTGTTGGATGAGAGGCTTTGACTCGGACGACGCGTGATCAGTGAAACTGCGAGCGAGCGCGGGTCGTGCGGGAAGGGCCTTGATGGTGTTGGAAGCGTAATGCGGGAAGGCTGATGATGATGGGCCGGGCTGGTTGTCGCTGTGGTCGGTACACGGAGGCGGTGGTGGAAGAGACTTTTCGGCGGGCAACTGGACCGGGTTGGCTTTCGGTGTCACCTGCGAGGCCGACATGGCGATATGCGGTGTCAGCAGATGGAGCTCGCTGGGCTGCTTTGCCTGAGAAGACAGACGAACGGCGGAACGTCGAGCTCGCCAGGGGAAAGGCTGCCGATCTGGCGGGGCGCGTCCTGTGCGGAAGGGCCGAGCGCAGCAGCCAAGGGGGGCAGATCGAACGGCACAGGGATCGAGGGATCGAGCCAGGTTGGAAAGCGTGCCTTGATCCGACGGGTCTGCGCGTATGCTTTCGGCGTCCTGTGACTTTGAGAAGTGTCGGGGAGAGTGCCGAAATGAAGCCTTGGCCGTTACCGAGAGTGGCTATGCGTCAGGTCGGATAGAGCGGAACCGGCTTTTCTGTGGGCTTTGCGCAGCACTGTGCTCGGCTTCTCGAAGTGGCCGCAGAGATGAGGCTGCGGGCGCGGCGTCTTGCCTGGTTGTGGACCTTGGATGCCGAGACGATTGCCTACGCCTTTGGAATGCTGCACAAAACACGGAATCGGACCGAAGGTTTCAGGCAGAGTATGATAAGGTTTAGCTATCTGCGTGCTGCATGCTGCCTCTGCAGGGCGAAGGCGACAGAGAGCGTCCGGAAGAGCTGAGCGAATTGGAGCCACGACGCCGCGCGATCGAGATGCTCAGGGGCGGTTGTCAGCTTGGCGCGGGGAGAATCCGTGCGGTGGTGATGAAGTGGGGCCCGAATAGCGAGATGAGCGAGGGTGGCGGTGTATGGTCGTCGGCGCGGAGACGACGCTGCGATCGCGAACGTGAGAGCCAGGCTGGAAACTTTAATGTGGGTTTCGCCGCGAGGTAATCGTCGGAGAGGCCAGTGATGCGAGGCAATGGAGGCGTGTGCTCAGAGTTTCGGCGGCGTGGGCCGGGTCCACCTCGGGTGCATTGAAGATTGGCTCTAGGCTGTAATGAGATGAGAGTCCGAGCGGTGCAGCAGGAGAGAGGCAGAGAGGTGCGGTTGGTCAAGTCGTTCGTGATTCGTAGGAGGCAGGTGATGATGATGATGGTGATGAAACGAGTGCGAGCGAGGACAGGCACTCCGAATCTCTGCACACCCTATCGGATTGGAGTGATGGTGACGGATCAAGGAGGCGGTGGTTCTACCGACGGCGACTCTGCAAGCATCTGCGGACCACGCTCTATAACTCACAAGACCCGTCCCGGGGTGACAAAGGGCCATGCAGCGTCGTTCCGAAGCAGAGCAACGCACCCGAGGAAGAAAGGCGGCTCACTCAGCTGCTTGCTCTACTGTCACTTTGGCGCTCGCTGGCGGGCGTAGGCCTGTAGCTGCACAGTTGTGCATCTGCGCAAGAAGCTGCAGTCGATGCCTTCGCAGCCATGCACCCATCCTGCAGCTGGGCCGCAGCGCAGCAGCGCAGGGGTGCAGCAACACAAGAAACAAGAAGAAAAAAAAAAAAAAAAAAAA